ATACATTCATTTATTGAAGGGCATCTGGGTTGGTCTTTGAACTTTTGTTTTTCCTTCTTAGCAACATAGTTTGGGCCATTCACACAATTGAAAAAATATATATTTTATTCAGTGTTAGAACATAAAGTCAGAATTTCTATACTTAGAGTTTCCTAGCAGAAGATACTGAGTTTTAAATGTCTATTTACTGAATGCTTTTCACAATGTTTTATGTATATTGATAATCACATAAGTTTTTTTTTTTGTTCTGTTTCATTCTGTGATTGATGTTTTTCCACTTACAAATATTGGGGTTGAACCACAGAAACAAAAACATTTCATTATAATACAAGTGATAGCCATTGTGCAATTCCTAATATATATCTTCTGTTTTCAAGATTTATTTTAAACTTAATTCTAACATGATCTCATAACATTAGACAATAGAATCATTTCTATGTCCCAGAAATAAATTACAAAAAACATGGAGTCTTAATAATAAGCTTAAGTTGAGTGCGGTGGTGCTTGCCTGTAGTCCTAGGGGCTCAGGAGGTCTGAGGCAGGAGGATCACAAGTTTGAAGTCAGCCTCAGCAGCTTAGAGGGGACATAAGTAACTTAGCAAGACCCTGTTTCAAAATAAACAATAAAAAAGGCTGGGGATGTGACTCAGTGTTTAAGCGTCTTTTGGTTCAATCCCCAATACTAAAAAAAAAAAAAAAAAAAAAATAGAAATTTATTAAAACATACAATGACATTGAAAAAACTAAAACTGGAACAAAAATAAAGGGTAAATAAACCATCCAGTAGAAAATCAAAACCAAATACCAATCAAACAATCCATACTCTTATAAATAATTCTTGGATTAAAAAAGAAATAAAATCTGGGGCAGGGGTTGTGGCTCAGTGGTAGAGTGCTCACCTAGCATGTGCAAGGCCCTTGGTTCAATCCTCAGCACCACATAAAAATAAACAAAACAAAGGTATTGTGTCCAACTACTAACTAAAAAATAAATATATTTTTTTAAAAAAAGAAATCTTAAATGAAGATTGTTTATAAATAAATCATAGTAAAAATGCATACTACAATTTTTGTAATGCATCCAAAATAACATTAAGAGGGATTTTTAGAGCCTTAAATTAATACATTAGAGAACATGAATGAATAAGTGTTTGAGTTAATAATTCTTAAAAACAATCACAAAATTAACGCCTCAAAACCAAAAGAAATAGATTAATAAAAAACATATGAAGCAATGAAAAAACTTAATTCACAATACTTAATTTTTTTCAACAAAATCAAAAGCTACTTGTTTGATTAAAAATTAAGTTTTACTAAAACAAACAAATAATAAAAACACAAACAACTTTAGTTTTCACAAGATGGCCAACATTTTTTTTAAATAATGTTAAATTATTGAGGAATGACATACTTATTTATATGAATATATTTTTTTTATTGTTGGTCGTTCAAAACATTACATAGTTCTTAATACATCATACTTCACAGTTTGATTCAAGTGGGTTATGAACTCCCAATTTTACCCCGTATACAGATTGCTGTATCACATCAGTTACCCTTCCATTGATTGACATATTGCCTTTCTAGTGTCTGATGTATTCTGCTGTCAGTCCTATTCTCTACTATCCCCCCTCCCCTCCCCTCCCCTTTTCTCTCTCTACCCCTTCTAC